TAATAATGATCTTCTTATGAAGTCCAATCCGTTTTTTTGTTTTTTTTTTTTTTTTTTGTTGATTTTAGGTCAATGACGTGTTCAGTTATAATTATAATATACGTATAACAAGCAGATATATAGATATCGCGGCTCTCTTTACATTATACTGACATTATCCAGAAGATGGTGATTTTTTTATTTGTTCTTTTTTTTCTAATTGTTTTATAACACCGAATCTTCAGTAACGAAAGAAACAATATTATTATCTGTAGATCGGACCAATATGATCTCTCGCTTATGGTTTTTGTTGGTTTTTTTTTTAGTTTGTTGTTAAATTTTTTATATTATTATTATAATTATTATAATTTTTTTTTTTTTGTTTGTATTATATTATAATTTATAATTACTCTTACGAATCGCCTTCGCAGTATACGCTTGACTATTAGCAGCGCCAAATGTTTAAGGCCTTAGGATAAATCACCTAACATTTTCAATAGGCAATGTTAAGTTATCTACATCATCGAAACCAAAGATTTATGTTCTATTTACGGTTTATTTTATTTTTTGTTTTATTAATTTATACTATTTTAAAAGCGATTATGTACAATATTATTAAACTGTATTATATAATATATTATCACATTATAAGATAAAGTGTTTTGAATAGTTATTTAGGGTTTTGTTGGTAAAAATTAAGCGTTATTATTATTATTGATTTTTTTTTTTTTTGTATTTTATTCTATGATTATCATATATATATATATATATATTTTTTTTTTGTTCTACTAGTTTAGAATGATAAAATAATCTTACTATTATTAATTTATTTTAAAGTCATATATATGTATTTCTAAATACATCGAATGTATTTTAACAATAATTTGTTCAATTATTCAATAAAAACCTTTTATTTATACTCCCTATCCTATCACCCATTCAAATTGTGTTTGTTAAAAATGGACGTCAAAAAAAATTCGAATGAACAAAAGAGGGTCGTTTATAAATCCAAAAAGGCTGCTAAGAATTGAGAGCCGCCGATTTAATTAAATTCTTTTTTTTCTTGTCCTTTTTTCCCCGTCTTTTTTATTCGTTTTCTACTCTCTATGTATTTTTAATTCCGAGAGATTTAAGAAATAAAAATTAGCTTGACAGTGTGAGGGTAGTGGTGGTTACCAGTAATGCAATTTAAAAATATAATCCAAGATTTATATAGTGGAATTTTGTATGTACGCATATATACACAGACACGTCAGACATTTGTTCGAGAAATGATATAAACTTGTTGTTTTTCCACGCAAACCTTAACAGAATAAGAAACATAGCTTTGGAGTGAACGATTAAAGGATTTACCATCATTTGTTTGGAAAAAAAACTCAACCCAATCGAATGGACAAGGTTTGTTCAAACATATTTTTTTTTATTTGCATTAAAATAAAAAAAAGTAACAATAACAAAGCTACACAATTATTTGTTTTGGAAACTCAAAATTAATTTTATACGGCTTTTCTTCATCGAACCCGAACTTATTCGCGCAGATGCATCACCTTCCGAACGCTCACTGTTCTTTTCCACGTGACTTGAAATTAAGGAAATTCGATGCGGCAAGTGGTTTGGTATGTAGGGTGTATGACTGTAGAGAATGCTTAGCAATAACGTGGTAAAAAGGGTTAAATCTGTAGTCCACTTTGTATAAAAAAAAGTATATAACTTGGATGCCCCGAATAAATGTTGCAGTCTTTTTAGTTGTTACGCGTTCTTTATTGATGAAATTATTTCTGGGTTTTCAACATCACGGAATAATACGTAGTAAAATATAGTAAAATATTAGTGTAAGACACTATAACAATAAAACATAATATAAAATTACACGTATGTGGAAAAAAAATAATTGTAATAATTTTTTCGTTGCCGGTAAATATTATTTTAATGAGTAAAAATATTTTTTTTTGTCCGTAACATTCCTTGGTAAATTATTATTTATTTATGAAAACAAATTTAAATAGTAAAAATATCTTTACCATAGCTAATACATATTTATAAAACTCACATAAATGCAATAAGTACATTCAAAATGATTATATTATGTCTATTGCAAACATTGATGCATAATATTAAACTCATATAAATTATAATATCCATTTACTTTTGCTTAATTTTTTTTCCTAAATATTAACATGACTGAAGTTTTTGAATTTGTAACTTTTAAAAGCATTTAATGATATATTTTAACTACACGCTATACTATGGTCATCGTAGGTTATATAAATAGTCTTTATTTGCGCAATTTCCATGAATTGAGATGAGTAAATTACTTAAGTAGTGGATCAAAATTTGACAGAATACTCATGTACCACTTTATTTAACTAAATTAATTTTAAATACCTATTGATAATTTATAGTTTATTAATAATAATATTTTATTTATTTCTTAATAGTTGTTTTTCAATGATATAAAATTATGTAAAAAATATTTTCAAAAAAATTAAAATTGTTTGAAATAAAAAGTGTGTTATACGTTTTTGAAAGTTGTTCTTATAATAATCATACTGAAAAAAATCATTATTTTATATATATATAGGTATATATAAAGTTATAAATATTAATGTATAATAAATAAAAATCTACAAATTCGAAGAACGTTTGGTAATTCACAGTAAATGTATATTGTAGAAATAAATTATGGCTTATATATCTTTGAAAAAATAGTAACCTATTAATTTAAGTGTTCAATTTTTTGTTTTCAAAAAAAAAAAAACAAAAAAAAAAATCGAAAGTTCTCAATCCTGGCATTTATGGAAATATTCCTTATTAGAATCGATCCTAGTTTTTTCAGAAATGACTACCCTAATTCTTTAAAATTACCATTATGTTTATTTAATTCCTTTAAAAAATAAAGTCTTTGTTGAAAAAAATTATTTATAACTAAAAAAATCAAACCTATGCCGTAAAAATTAAAGAAAATTATAAAAGTATAGTTATTCAATTTAAATTAAAAATACCTAGTATTGATAGGTTATTACTACTCCGTTAGTCTTATTTTAAATTTATTGAAACTATAATATTATTATTATAATTAAATATCCTTAGAAAGATACGTTTTATGTTTTCGACGTAAATTATAAATTATTTTGAGCACATCAGAACACTTAAGTACCTACATAAACGAAATCTGATTAAATTTAAATATTATTATATGACTGTATCAACATTTTTGATGAATATCAACATTTTTAGTGGATACTCGTATTGCGGAATAATATAGTAGCGAGTATTTCCTCTCGTGATTAAATCAATCTTTAATTGTTCAATAGAAACCTTCATACTTTGTTTAGAGCCTATATTGCCGTTGATAAAATCTTGGAAAATAACTTGATATAAATATTTTAAAAAAACTAAAAACAATTCGTCAATTATATTAATTCAATTTTTTCAGAAATCGTAATTTAATAAATATTTATTGTACGATACTTTTGAAATTTAAATCAAAATAATGATAAATATTTTTTCTACGGTAATAATAATAATAATAACAATTTTACTGTGGCAATTATTACTAAATATTTAATTATATAATAATTTATAATTTATTATTTATAACACACAATTAACAAGGTCCACTGTAGGTAATGTGTAAGATTTTGTATTTTATATTAATATGACGTATTTGATAGAGATGTTTAAATTAATCATCGTAATATTCAAACGTTCAAATATATTGTAGAGTTTCAGATGTATAAATCCATGACACTGGAAATATTAATATAGCGTGACTAAGTTATTGTCAAACTTATGTACTATATTACATATATTTGAAAAGCATTTAATATAATTCGTAAAATTAGTTTGCAATTGTTGGTTTCTTGTAGTATAAATAATAATAATAATAATAATAATAATAATAGTACGATTAAAATAAAATGTAAGTTTTGTTTATTATGAGCAATTTCTTATATCTTGCTTATAATAGTATAGCATTACGTATTTTTGTATATAAACCATCTATCAACAATCAAATTTTATTGAATATTAGTTGTTCATAATTATTATAATATTATTCATATTGATATTTTAACTTTTAATTCATTAAAAAGGAAAAAATATCAAGAAAAAAATTTTAAATTATTAAATTATTTTTTATTAAAATATTGATTTATATATTATTTACTATAAAATTTAATGATAGTTCGTAAATCTCCATATAAGATTTTATTTCATTTTTTTCACCTTAATATACATCTCAAACCTCTCTTTATACCTATTTTATTTATTTGACGTATTCAATTTTAGTTTACTTAAATATTATTATATCTATTTTGATTTATTTATACCTAACCATTAATTATACAGTATTATAAATATTTTCTAAATATATATATATTTATTTGAAATGAGGTTAATATAATTTTTAATCACGTCAGGACTCATGATGATAATTTTAAATTTAATATTTAACGAAAAAAATATTTTCTTTTTTTATTCACGTTTAATTCTGTTTAAAAATTATTTTTCTTTTATGTTTATGCCTTTAGAAAAGTGAAACTAATTGTGATTAAAATCTCATTACACATTATTACTTTTAATCCTTTTTTTATGGCTTCCTATGAATCATTGATTTAACTTGAGAGTAAGAAAAGAAACAATACTATTTTTATACACAAATATACAATATAGCATTATATAATTTTTATTTAACTTAACCTTAAAGTTACAATCTTGATTTGTTTATCGATATCTAAATGTTATTGGTATTTCAATAAAATAATATAAGGATTGCTTTTTTTTTAATATAAATATTTTATTTTGCTCATGTTAACGAAAATTCTATGATTGCATGATTTACTAAGTGATACATTTATTATTATAAATTATCGTGAATATTATATTATATGTTATTATATGCAATAAAAATAAAATTGAAGTCATTTCAATTACCATATTAAATATAAAATAAAAAAAAAAATATATTTATAATATAACATTTTTTTATTTTATTTAAATACTGACTACA